CTATCTATCTATCTATCTATCTATCTATCTATCTATCTATCTATCTATCTATCTATCTATCTATCTATCTATCTATCTATCTATCTATCCCTTTAGCTGTCATGTACGTATATGAGGTTGTCTGTCTGTACCTCTCACTCTGTCGCCTCTCTCTTTTACTCATAATCTGTCTTTTTTCTGTACATCTGTCTATCTGTTTTCTGTCCTTGTTTCTATCTCCCTCATCCCCTTTCTCTTTTAGAGCCCTCTTCTCTCTCTCTCTCTCTCTCTCTCTCTCTCTCTCTCTCTCTCTCTCTCTCTCTCTCTTTCTCTCTTTCTCTCTCTCTCACGTCAATTGTACGTTATCTTCAAAAGATAGGGAAAGTATTTCAACTCCACCCGTGTGCTCATAATATAATATTACTCTTGGTTAACCAGGTTCAAACGTCAAGCTCAACCCAGATATATGGACTATTAATATACCGGTACGCTGACATAGTGCGGTAAAAAAATTCGTGGTGTAACTTATTCTCAAATTAAACATCTCTTGGACGGGTTAAGCAATGCCACCCATACTTTGCACTGGAGTGTGTATCAAGTTGTGTATCAATATAATCATATTTTTTCACAACAAATGGGGCTAGATTAAATATCTTTTCTGCAAACATATGTACAAAATACTGCAAATTTCCTTTAAAATTGTTCCGTCAAGTGTTCATAGCACTTCTCGCTTCTTACATACATTTTGCCTACGTATGTGGCCTTCTTGACAGCTCACCAATGACATTTTAAAATGTTAGTAGTAAAACTTTATCCCACTCTTAATTTTTATCTCCTTATAAATGACGAGTGAAATCGTTAAGTATTTCTCCTCATACGTTTACATAACTCGTCTGATGAGAAGCATGAGGAGGAATCGTAGTCGAAAAGGGGGCTTCGGAGGCAAAGTGAGAAGTGAGTTCAGACTCAAAAGTAAAGTCAAGCAAGTACTGGATAAGATGGGTGGCCACCGGGGTGTATCCTTGAGCAAGGCATCGCAAGCCTTGCTTCAAAAATAACTTTTTTCGAAAAAAAAACAGGGCGCTCTGCAGTGTTGACCATAAATGGCCTGACTGTGAAATTGTTCTGCATTGGTGTAATATGGTGTATTTATATAATATATATTATGTTTTATAAGGTTTGTTTGTCAGTATAAACCAAACTGCCCCTCTAAGATCATTAAAAAAACATTAATTTATTTAATTTATTTTTATTTATTTATGTATTTATTTATTTATTTATTTTATTTATTTATTTACTGTTACAAGAAGGTGGCTTATTTTCATGCCGTCATTTCTGACTTAATCAGATACCGATGAGAGCGTGTGATTCTACCAACTATCCTCCTAGATTATCACAAACAATTCTCACTATATTAGTACGTATTAGTATAATCTTACAAGTAAAAGCAGTCAAGAACAGGGAAGCAACCCACTTCTGTTCAGTGGCGATGCGCTTGTGTCGGTGTGTTTTGGCCTGTACAATAATAAAATGTAATTATCCGTGATTTTTAAAAAATCAGGTTTTGTTACGCACCATTTATTAAATGAAAGTTTATTAAAACATGATTTCCATAAGCATAATTGCTACCTCAGAGATACAAAGTTCTAAATCAACTCAGTCCCTAGTTTTTAGAACTTGACATCAAAGATTATGACTTTCACATCTCGTCAAGCTTTTTCGAATGCAAT